CTATAGAACCTAAATCTCTTAGTTTTCTTTGGTTAACGAGTGTTTATAAATTCTCTCTAATCTGTGGCTCATTCACAATCATCACACAGTTTCTGTCACAGAGTACCTTATTATAACCGGAAATGACACCTGATTTTAAAAGTTACTCTTATGCATTAACTTTAAAAACAGGCAACTATCTGTTAATCTACATGCTCTATATACCTGAATCTAATCCATAATTTCGGTACTTGGCTTGATTTCTCTAGTTTACTATATAACTTATTTGTTTTTTATTATTTTAATATGTTTCGTGTATATGGTTTATAGAAGTTCTCATGGGTGGCCGTCAATAATATACGTTTCTACAGTAATTTATATATAATTTCGAATCTAGGAAACAATTTTTCATGATTATTGGTCTTTAGGCCAAATATGTATGGAAGCTGAGCAATCTCCTTTAACGTTCTCCGTGTGTGTTTATTCATTATTTTTATTGTGTTTTGGTATTAATCATGTGACTACCACAATATTTTAGCAACTCGGTGGAGACACTGAACGCTGTTTCTTTATTCCAGCAACAGATACGGGCTATATAGATATAATAGTTGAGATATGATTTTATTTATTTTTTAAGCATTTAACTGCTAGATGTTTAAATCTAAAGAAAAGTTTACTAGAAAAAAATCCACGCGGACCAGGCCCAGGTCCCGTCCGCTACCTGGTCCGCGTGGATTTTTTTCTAGTAAACTTTTCTTTAGATAGTTGAGATAGCTTTAACTTCAGCCGTATTCTTAACTATAAAGATAGACGTTTTGTTTTAGGGTTTAAGATTCCCGTTATTATTATAATAAAAAATAGTCTCTTAACTATTTAAAATATTTATTCAAAGTAGGGTTCAGACAAAACGATTGGACAAATGAGTCATAACAAGTAAATAAACAATAGAACAATTGTTTCCGTAAAAATACCACGAGATTTTCACGGTCGTGGAATTTAAATAACTTAAGCTTTGAATTAACAGTGCAGCAATGATTTAAGGTGCTCGTTTACTGATTAAACATGTTTAAATTAAAAGCTTGAATTATTTCAAAAACTTTAACGATAAAGTACTATTAATTAATATTTGTGTCGCCATCAACCAAATTCCTTGAACGTTTCCAAACTAAATCTGGCACACAGGTAGCCTACGTCCATACTAAAAGACGTTATAATGGACTAGTATTCTTTCTTTCGTCAATCGCCCAAGAATGACAGAGTGGGGGCTCGTGACGTCACTTCTAAGTAAAAATTGTGTTAAGACGAGTTGTCATGCGACATTTCAAATCAATATATTGTTTTAAACTTTCATGGTCACTAACATTATAGTAATATAAGTTATTTACGGGATTGTTACCATGTACCTTGTTTTTAGCGAGTTTCCGATATTTCGGCACTGTTGCAAGCGCCATGATCACGGAGTAACTCCGTCAAATCAATAAATCTCTGTAATGATTTGATTATGTAAAAAAAAGAAAAAATGCGTGTCCTTTACTTTCTGATAATCTACCTGATAGAAGAAGAAAGAAAGTAAGTCATCTTTCCTATTCATATTAATCCTTACTAATATTATAAAGGCGAAAGTTTGTTTGGATGGATGTATGGATGGATGTTTGTTCCTCTTTCACGCAAAAACTACTAAACGGATTTTAATGAAACTTTACAGTAATGTAGCTTATAGATCAGAATAACACATAGGCTATAATTTATAAAGATATTGTGTGAATTGTCCAAAATATAACGATAAATGTCATTTAAGTCTGAAAAAATTCTGCAATCTGCGAGCTATTCAGGCGTGTAAGGATAAAATTGTCTAAAAAATATCCTGCAACAGCATATGTCTATCTTTTATGGTTGACTCACAATAACACGTGTAATTATATAAATAAAGTCATTCTTTATAGCACAAGCCTGAGAACAAAAAGTATAGTTTACACTACAGCTCTACACCGAAGCGAAGCGAGGGCGGGCCACTAGTATTTTATATTTGAACGAGCGGCCCGCCCTCGCTTCGCTTCGGTGTAGAGCTGAAGTGTAGACTACAGTTTTTGTTCTCAGACTTGTATTATACACAATGACATTCATCTATGATTCTTCTTATACCTGCATGCAAAGTCTCAGCCCGATCTGTTTTAAATTGACAAAGTTTCATACAAACTTTCATTCCCTATTTTATCCCCTTGGGGGTAGAATTGATCAAAATCCTTTCTTAGCGGATGCCTACGTCATAACATCTACCTGCATGCCAAATTTCAGCCCGATCCGTCCAGTGGTTTGGGCTGAGCGTTGATAGATCACTATGTCAGTCAGTCACCTTTGAGTTTTATATATATGTTACCGGCCAAACCCGATTTCAGGACAATCTAGTTTTGCCTAGGCTAAACTGGTTCTTCCTATACGCGATAGGATTAACTAGTATAGCCTAGTCCAAACTAATTTATCCTAAGCGCGACAGGATAAACCAGTTTAGCCTAGGCCAAACTAGATGATCCTGATATAAATACGCACACTCTAGGATAAACTAGTACGACCTAGTCTAAACCAATTTAGCAAAGCGGAAAGTAATTGAACAGACATGTCAGGACTTGTACAGGGCGCGTCATGTAAAAAGAACGCTGGAAGAAAGTGGAGGGAGTGTTTTTTCTGTAATTGGTTTTTGTTTAACTCTTTTGTTGTTGCCGGGAGTTCGGAAGAGAGTAAAGCCGGGTACGCATTAGCGATCTGTTACCGTAACATGCGTGATACAGTACGAAGTTCTAGTGTGTACGCTAGTAGCTCAGTTGTGAACGTTGGCTCGCTTCAAACCGCACGCGTACCGTTCTCGCAGCAGGTTATCGAACCACGTACACACTATGCTTTTTGGTTACAGTGCGTGCAACGGTTATGGTTACAGCTCGCCAATGAGTAACTACCCGGCTTAAGAAATTCCGAATCATTCGAACCTTTTACAATTCATCTCACTGTAAACTCAAAATATTTTAAGAAAAGTTTACTAGAAAAAAAAACCACGCGGACCAGGCAGCGGACCGGACTCGAACCCGCACCCTTCGCAATCCGGGCGAATGCACTGACCATTATGCTACCACGGCCCTATTCGCCGCGTCGAAATTTTCCTAGCCTTAAGCTGCAAGGCAGCGCCATCTCTTCGCATTGTAGGTTGCAACCACGCAACCCACAATGTCAAATTAATACTTTTTCAAGTATTAAACATTTGAAAGAAGAAATAGCAATTATAGTTATTGTTTTTATTTATTTTTAAGCATTTAACTGCTAGGTGTTTAAATCTAAAGAAAAGTTTACTAGAAAAATTAAACTTTTCTTATTTTTCTTTGTTACTAATTATCCATAACTTGTAACAATGAATCATTATGGTTTTAATAAAAAATATTATTTTTCCAATTACTGATTATTTTATTCAGTTTATCTATTTATTTTGACTTTCTAGATATACTATAATGTTTACACTAGGCCATACTAGTTTATCCTAGAGTATGCGTATTTTTATCAGGATCAACTAGTTTGGCCTAGGCTAAACTGGTTTATCCTATCGGGCTTAGGACAAATTAGTTTGGACTAGGCTATACTAGTTAATCCTATCGCGCATAGGAAGAACCAGTTTAGCCTAGGCAAAACTAGTTTGTCCTGAAATCGGGTTTGGCCGGTAACATATATAGATAGATAGATGAACCAATTTCTTTTTTAATGAATTTCGGAAATGAGATAAAGGTAACCTCGGAGATGAATATGGATTTATGTGATGATGCGAAATCAATTCTTAGGGGTGGTAAAACGTCTGAAAAAGTCTGTTTGGTATATATATATAGACATATTTTAAGTTTATATATACAACATATTTATATTTATTCGGTACAATCTTTTATAAAAAAAGTGAGATAATTAAATTAATTTTAAAATCTATAATATAACATTAACAATTCAACCGATTTATTGGACTGCAGCGATGCAAATAAGCGAAATCTCAAGTTTGATAAGCTTTTGACTCTGTAAATAACCGCTTTTTAATAACTTAACAGACGTCTTATTGTACTTAAATTAAAACTTTTAGTGCAAAACCATTTCGTTACTTTATTATTATTACGGATGAACAAGAATTTTCGTAACCTTATTACTAAAACACGCTGTAAGAATGGATTCGAAGAGAAAAATCATTAGAGTCTCATTTATATCGATTTGATAAGCACCCCCGAACGGACAGAAATTATAACTTTAAGTTAAATTACGTAACTTTACACGGTGTAAGCACTCAAATTCACTAGACTTATTACTTTCTAATGACCGTCACCTTTGTTTCTCACGGTCGTTTTGACAAAAGGAAATTACTTAGATAGAAACATCTTCTTTTTAAAAATTATAGACATACACGATTTTGTAATACGCATCTGAGCTTTAATCGTGTAATTTTGTATTGTGATGTGTTTAATTAAAACGTTTGATCGAAATCATTTTAGTTGATTAATTTGACACTGATAGTGATTTATTTAAACCACGCTAGTCTCTCAAAATAGCAAAAAATAAGTAAGCTTGTTGGTTTTTTTTTTAAGTGATAAACAGCAAAATAATTTCGCTATTTGGATTCCTTGTTAGGAAAACGGGCATCTTGCCTACGACTGTTCTTCTTCCGTTTTGTTTATTGATTTATTTAAATTGATAAGATAAACTGTAATTAACCTGATTTAGGTAAGGACTGGTGATCATAAGGCTGGCAGCTACCTTGGTCAACGGATCAGCCTTGCTATCCAACGAGGAAATGATGCCAGTCTATTGGGTACCATACCTTACCGGCGGCACTGGGGGTGATATTTTTTTTATTTTGTAATTTTTTATTTATTCAAGTATTAAGATAATTCTATTTTTAAGTTTTTAGACATTAAGTAGTTTTAAACTATTATGAATTAAATAATTTGTATTTAAATAACCAAATAAATTATGGTAAGTACATAATATATTATAGTAGGACTCACTTTTATTGTTTTCACGCTGGATATATCGTTTTCGAAGTCTTCTTGTAAACCTGTGTACAAAGAAAATTTACAAATTATTTTGTTTAATTACGCGATGAGAACCACAGAACTGAATATTTTTCAAAAAAATATTAATGCCGTCAACTTTTACAGTTTTGGAAAGCACATGACATATTGTAAAAACTTATTGATTGCAAAAGAATATCTAAAATATTATTTTAAAAATTAAGCTATAAGAATCTTTTACTTGACAATAAGTTGTATTTCGTTTTGGGTACACAGTCATTAATACATTTTAATACATTGGTCATAAAATTATATGACAAGCATGCACCTTTTCGACCCGTTAAATTAAAGCATATTCCTGCACCCTGGCTTACGGATGATATAAAATTATTAATGCAAAAAAAAGCTTCTGCTAAAAGTAGGTATAAATGTCGGCCAGGTGACCATAACAAAGAAACTTATATCAAAATTCGTAATCGCTGCAATAAGGTGTCTAGGGATGCATTACGTCGTCACATTCACAATTCTGTCAGTATTGAAGACTCTCCAAAAGTCTGGAAATTTCTAAGATCGCTCGGTATTGGAAAATCTAGGGAGGACTCTGGTGCTCCTAATATTAACTTAGATTCTCTAAATACTCATTTCACTTCTTCTGCTGGTATAAATACTGCTGTTAAAATTAACACTCTTAGTCAACTTTCAACCAGACCAATACCGAACTTCTCTCCCTTTGTTTTTGTTCAATTAACGGATTGTGATGTTAAGACGAGCTTACTTTCTGCTACTTCTAATGCTATAGGTAGCGACGGCATAAGTCGTAATATGTTAGTGCCAATTCTTGACATTGTCCTTCCTGTCATAACATTCCTTTTTAACAGTATTGTTTCCAATGCTTCATTTCCTTCTGCTTGGAAAGATGCCCAGATTGTTCCGTTGCCTAAAGTACGTAACCCGAAAGTCCTCTCCGAATATCGTCCTATATCCATTCTTCCCTTTTTATCCAAAGTGCTTGAACGTCTCCTTCACAAACAAATTAATAATTTCCTTACACGCCATAATCTCCTAAATCCTCTTCAATCGGGCTTTCGTCCTGGCCATAGCACTGTCACTGCCTTGGTCAAGGTTACTGATGACATCCGACTTGGCATGGAAAAGAGTCGCCTAACTGTGCTAACATTATTGGACTTTAGTAACGATTTTAACACTGTCGATTTTGATGTTCTTATAGCCGTATTACGCTCTCTTAACATATCTCCAACGGTAATTGACTGGTTTTACAGTTATCTGTATGGACGTAGGCAGCGTGTTCGCCTTGATGACAAATTCTCGTCATGGTGCGAGACGTCTGCTGGCGTTCCACAAGGCGGCGTATTATCTCCTCTTCTTTTCGCAATATTTATTAATTCAATTTCTCTTAACTTATCTTCTTCCTACCACCTTTATGCAGACGATTTACAGATATATTGCCAGGCGCCACTTGAAAAAATTGAGGAAGCAGTTTTTAAAACTAATGTTGATCTGTGTCGAATTGCGGAGTGGAGTAAAGCTTTGGCCTTAATGTTAATCCTATCAAAACTCAGGTCATGATAGTCGGTAGCTCTAGACTATTATCTCAAATTAACTGGACTACTCTTCCTAAAGTTAGTTTCGAAGGAACTGACATACCTTATAGTTCAACGGTAAAGAATCTCGGAGTGATAATGGATAGTTCATTGAGCTGGGAGCCACAGCTGCAAGCTGTAAGTCGAAAACTGTATGCGTCTGCTGGTTCGTTAAGAAGACTACGTAACTTTTTACCCACTGCCACTAAAATTATGCTATCTCAATCTCTATTGCTTCCAGTCCTTGACTATGCTGACGCCTGCTATCTAGATCTTACCGAGGACAAGCTAAATAAACTTGAGCGTCTTCAAAACTTCTGCATCAGGTTCATATTTGGTTTAAGAAAATATGATCATGTTTCCCAGTTTCGTTCTCAACTCAAGTGGCTTCCAATTCGTCGTCGCCGGGATACTCATATACTTTCCCTTCTTTACAATGTGTTGTTTAATCCCTCTTATCCCAATTATCTTAAAGAGCTTTTCAGTTTTCTCCACTGCTCCCACTCTCAGTCTCTACGCTCATCAGAGAATTTGAGCCTTAAAACTCCATCACATAATACTACTTTTTATAAATATTCTTTTTGTGTTCAAGCTGTGCGCCTCTGGAACTCTCTCCCCGTTAACATCAGACGTGCCCAGACGATTGGTTTATTTAAAAAGCAGATTAAAGATTTTTTCCTTTCAAAGTAGTTGTTTGTGTTGTTCCAACTGTATGTGTGTATGTATGTTTATGTCTCTCTACTCATTCATTTAATATTTGTATACTTGCATAGTAGATATTTATGAGTATGTTTAATCCTGAATCTTTTATTGTAATTATTTTTATTTGTTATATGAGCACACCCCCTCTTTTATTAAATTTCATCTCTCCATCCTATGGTTGTCTGGCAGAAATTGCTATATAGCGATAAGACCGCCAATTGTTCACTATTTAAGTTTTATCCTAGTGTGTAATATTTAATATGGTGTGCACAATAAAGTGTTATCTATCTATCATTAAACCGCATGTAAGTACTGCTTTTATGGTATTTGAATAAACAGCTTCATTAATTGACTGAGTTTTCTAATATGAAAGTTTGCACTCAACTTAAATGGGATCTTAGTTCAGAGGAACCTTCACTATCTAACATTATGTGCCAATGACTGGACATATGCCATAAAACACAGGACGACTTTATGTGCCATGTATGGCATAATTAAGCATTCGTTTAAATAAAAAACCGGTCAAGTGAGAGTCGGCATAGCGCACCGAAGGTTCCATACAAACCTGTAGGTATATAAAAATTATTAATAAAATATGTGGTATGTATATGTATATGTTATCTTGGTGTCAAGACTAATCATCCCCACCGTTGTCGTTGCGGTGCTCGCGTCGGTGAGTTGAGTCACCATGGTCTTTCATGCCAAATGAGCGCTGGCCGAGTCTCCCGCCACGCCTGCATCAATGACGTCATCCGCAGAGCTCTTGTCGCAGTCAACGTGCCAGCGGTCCTTGAGCCTAGCGGCATCTTTCGTGACGATGGCAAGAGACCTGACGGAATGACGCTCATTCCGTGGAAGCAGGGTCGCCCTCTTGTGTGGGACGCAACTTGCGCGGATACGCTTGCTCCGTGCCACACAGAGAGCACCTCCCATGCTGCGGGTGCGGCGGCGGACTCTGCTGAATGCTCTAAACGGCGCAAATATTCAGCTCTCAATGAGAACTATATATTTGTGCCGTTTGGTGTTGAGACCATGGGCCCATGGGGTCCAAGCGCTCGTTCCTTTTTTAGGGAAATATCAAAGAGACTCACCGAAGTTACTGGTGATCAAAAGGCTGGCAGCTATCTTGGTCAACGGATCAGCCTTGCCGTTCAACGAGGCAATGCTGCCAGCCTATTGGGCACCATCCCTGACGGCGGCGATGGGGGTGACTTATTTTTTATTTTGTAAATAGGATGTTATTTATAATTAGGTTTAGGAAATTTGTATTTAAATATTATTTATTTCTGTACATATATAATTAAAAAATATGTGGTTAAACTAAAAATTTACGGTTCTCGCAATTTTTTTTATCTGTGCTATAAGACATTGCTTCGTACCAAATTTTAAGATTCTGAGTTCACGGGAAGTACCCTGTAGGTTTTTATTCCCTTGCGAGTTTCGAAAATTTGCGGCATAAACGGCTGTATCTTTTGATTCTGTTGGCTTAGAAGTTTGATTTTTTTACAGTTCCAAACAACAGTAGACCTGAGTATATAATATAAATTTCAGCTTGATAGCTCCACGCGTTCCTGAGAAAAAGGATCTTGACAGACGGACGGACGGTGATCCTTTAAGGGTTCTGATTTTTTTCCTTTGGAAGTACGTAGCCCCAAAGAAGAACATAGGCAACTTAATTTATGCATCTTTGAGAAACTTTAACCCCCTGAAATAATCGAATAACGTTTGAACACAGTGTATGGTTTTTTTCACGGAGCCTTTTTTCATCTTTGTATTTAAAGGTGGTTCTCATCTATTCGTCGAATTACAATACGCAATTTGAGTGAATTGAATGAACAATAGACTGCTTAATTCGTTTATTTTGAAGGGGGCAAAGGTGCTTATGGAGAAGGATTAGTAAAAAGGAGATGATTCATTTGCGCCAGGTCTATGTACACATTCCTAAAAAATAAGATAAACAATAAGCATTCCCAGAAAAATAATAAAAGTTAGTTTCTTTACCTAATTTATTGGTACGATGAAGAATAATGCGGCGTTTTTTCCGATGTCTTAATTAAGTCTGTGGTAATATTAGTAATGGAAACATAGTAAGTTCAAAAATGTAATGTGTAAAAAAAGCGTAAGAAAACTATAGCATACTAAAAAGTCTGAACAAACTATAGTACCTAGTTCAAAAAATATTACGGGGTAATATTTTCCATTTATATATTAGGTAAAAGAGAACTTAGAAAGATTTTGTTAAGTACTGTGCTGTTATTGTATTTCTGAGCTGTTGACACTTGACACTAGTTGACACATAACTGACAGTGACGTTCAGTTTCTTACACTTGATATACTTACGCCAAACTGACGTTGACAGATTTCCTTTATTTGTAGATTATGTACAAGATCTATCTCAAGTCCCATACAAATATGAAACATCTTGTTTTAATCGATTTGGTTTTGCGCGATCAATAACTCTTTAATTTTTATTTTAAAACATTCCTTCTTAGAGTTTAGTCTAAGAAAAACATTCTTCTAGACCTGTTTAAGAGTATAACGCGGGAAACAGCTTATTTTATATTTACAAATATTGAGAAAACATACATAATCCCATAAATAAAATTGTTTTTAACAACATCTGCTTATTTTAATAGTCAACAGTTCAAAGGTCATCAGCATTCCACATGCTATCGAGAAATTGTCTCGAATGTTACGGCCTTGTATTTTCGATTAAGTTCACTTCATTTTAACACCATATT